CAAAAAGCTCCTTTATTTGTTCAGTTTATTTTGTATAATATATAGTTTTCAAGATAAACTTTTCTGTATTTTTATCTTTTCTTGTTCATTTCTTATTTTCCTATTACATTTATTTGTTCCTTTCTTTTTCTCTTCTCTATATTTTTGTAACATTGTACATCTTCCCCTGTCGTTTTTTTTTTCATTTTCCACTCCTCCCACTTTTTTCTGAACTGCACATAAATTAGAACAAAACATGTTTGATTATTCATTTTATTTATGTAAAAAATTGTTTAGAATTCAAATATTTTAAATGTTTCTTTCTTTAAAATAAAAACTATACAGTATCCACTAAAACTTATTCTGCTTTTATTATTCTCAACTATTTTTCTGTTTAATAATGTTTAGCTTAAAAGGTAATAGTTTCTAACCATTACTTTGGCAAAGCACAGGAGACACTTATTCTTAAAATGAAAACAACAAATTCCAAGACCACAGTGTGGTCTATTTAAAAGGACGCGTTCCCTTGAGGAATTAGTTCTACAGCAAACAGTTTTCTTCTTGAAGAAGCATTACACACAAGAGTCTTTGTAAACAATGTTTATTTTCCTTTTTGCCTATTTCTTGTCAGTAGAAATCCATTGACTCTAAAATATTTACTGCCTACTTGACTACATAACTCATTTTCTCTTTATATCAGCAGTTTATCAGTTGTGCATTTTTTCTCTTTTAAAATTTCAATGTAAGAAATAACCTGCGTGGCTTTCTACTTACATAGGCTTAGAAATGTTGTCATTCTGGAATCTCTGGCTCTGATGGAATCTTGATTTTAGAATTCAGTGACAGTGTCTCTTTACTGATACTTGAATATTTGTATCTAGCATATCTCTAGTCTCATTCTTTGACTGTGTCTTGTTGGCATCTTAGCAATTCCCATTGAAAGTTTTCTGCATGCTTTTTAGCCTTCAAATTCCCAAGGGACATTTTGTATGGCATCACAAATTAGTTGGTTATATCATAGAGTAAGAGGCCACTTTGTGAAAGCATCTACTTAAGAACAAATGTGGGAACCATCAGTTATTACCGTTTCCATTAGAAGGAACTGATGGCTGACATGTAAGTAGTGTGGGATTGTTAGTGAGGTAAATGTTTTTGTGTTTCTTCATATGTATAAGGAATAAAAGGAAGAAATGGAAACATACTGGAACTCTTCAGATGGGACATCAGCTGAATTGAAATGCAAAGATAAATAATTATTGCAGAAATAGACTAACATGTAAAGTCAGAAGCCAGTAACAACAGTAGTGTTTTACCTGTTCTTAATAATGTAGCTATAGTTCCTTGGGATATTTAAAATTACTTTTGGGGGGATTTATGATGTTTTAAAAAATATGCATTTGGGGAATATTAACATTTAGTCCTAAATTTAGATACAATATTTTAACTGAAACAAGTGAGGGAAAAGAATTATAATCAGTGCAGAAATGTTATGCTGAGGGCAGCAGAGAAAGTCTTCAACAATTTCATGATTTTGCAAAAGACTGCTTCTGACCTGGTTCCCACACCCAGCAACGGCAAGAGTGTCTCCTTTTGCAGATAGAGCTAGCACACACCAATCTAGGCCTTTCACAGCTGGCTCAAGTGAAATTTCCATAAATTTTTATTTTATAATCTCTCAAATTTAAGCAGTTATCATTATCCCAGAGATTCACTCCAAAGGTACGGATAGAAAATCTATATTGCATATTTATTTCTTAGAAACAAACACACTTCTCAACAGATATATTTTTCCTGGTTTAGTTTCATTTTAATTGGACTTGAACATGCTACCTATTAATATCATTCTCATCTTATGAAATTTGCAAATCACACAATGAGATGTGAAAAATCTCAGGATGAGGAAGATTAAGAGGTTGTAATTAAAATTTTGCTGAGCCAATAACGTAAACCAAGATAAGGAAATGCCCAAACTAGGATTTCTTCTATGACATTCATTATTTTGCATTGTAAATCATGGCAATGAAGAGCTTTAGGGGCTAGTAACTCCACACGCTAGTATAGTCCTTATTAGAACCATCAACATTGGTATAAGGCAAGTATTTGATACTGTTCTTTAACTACATCAGCATTTCTCAGGACACTCTGAATCTGCCAGTGAGTTACAAACTGAATAATATATCACATTACTATTCTGGAAAATTTGTAAAACCTATCTTTTTTGGTAGGGTGATTTAATGAGAAATTTCATTCCAGTGTAAAGGTAACTAATCTAATTTTTATGAAAATCGGTTTTAGACAAAGAATCTGAGGGAATGGGAAATAATTTGAAATGGTTAGGGTACATTTGAAGAACATTGTTCAGGAAAAATTATTTAATATTGAAACACAAATTGAATATTTAATTATCAAAATATTTGAAGTGAAATAATTTCACTTACTATTGTTTATCTTACCTCAAAAGAAAACAATAGTGAGGCTTCTCAGTATCAATGGAAAGGCAAGAATGGGGACTAATAAAAAAGAATACTGAAGAGAAGGTAGTGAAAAAAATATTGTAAACTAAAAAATATGGAAAATAGAAAGGAGGAAGAATACAAGTAAGAGAATGGAGAGAACTACAAGGGGAAAAGTTAGAGAACAAATATGAGAGAGTCGAGAGAAAAGGTAAAGAGGAGAGAAAAGCCAATTCAAATATAAAAGTGTAACTTTAGAAAAAATATAGAAATTAGACATTTACTGAGAAGGGGGTTGAAGATAATAAAAGAAATATTTGTATTTTAAGAGGAGGTATGAGTAATATAAAGAAATATGAGAAAATGAGTGCCTGTTGATGGGGAACAAAACTTCAAATACCCACTCCATGAATTTCCAACAAAACCCTGCCTCTAGGCACGAAGAGTTTAGGTAGAATGTATGCCTGCACCACCATTCATTACTCTATGCTCCCTGCTCTGCTTCTACCTTAACTGCACCTGATGTATTTTGTCTCAGCTGGACTGGAAATAGAATGCGGAGGTAATGGCAAGCATTCCTGTTTCAAAGTTTGTATTTCAACTTCCACTGACAGCAGAATTTCTGTTAATATAGTTAGAACAGAAAACTTGTGTTTGCAGAAATTTTGGTGCTTTCATTTTCAGGTACTTACTTGATTTTCCCCAAGAAATGTTCATCCTATGAACATGTAGATACATGAGCAAGATGTGAGAATCAAAGGTACCACAAAGAAGCATAGAGAGAGAAATTCGCAAAGAGAAGACAGTGTATCAAAAATAATAGATGAGAATAAGTGCCATATAATAAAGAATCAATAGGAGAATAGAAATGGATTAAAGGGAATGAAACACAAAAGGCACACTGGATGAGCCTACAAGACCTAGACTCTTACACATTTCTTATGACCCATATGCATCTTTAATTCTGAAAACATGAGAAATAACCAACTGCATAATAATATGAAAGATGCGCACAACTTAAGAGTAAGTAAAGAGTCCTAATTTACTTTTCTAATAGGTTTTATGCACAGGAGTGATAAATATTAATGTCCACAAATGGCTAAGTGCAAGAGAAAATGAAAAGAAAAAGAATGAGAAACAGAAAAAGACAGACAAAAGAAAGAAGAAAGAAAGAAAGAAAGAGAAGGAAGGAGTAATTAAGCCAATTTTGATGGTGCAATATGTAGTTTCTGTACATTGCTTTTGCTTAGAATACAGTGTCCTCTTGTGTATACATGTGGTCAGGTATGTGTTTTATATGTACATATGTATGCACATATGTCTTAAAATATGCTTTTTTCATACTTCTAAATTTTAATCACATATGGAAATCTGTTATTAATCTATTAGGATTATATGTACAAAGGTGAATCTTTGATTTTTCAAATAGAAATGCTATTTAAATACTTTCATTTTTTTTCTTAATTTGGGACTTTGTTGATTCTTTTTACTTTTTCCTACTCCTTCACTTTCTTTCTTCTTTTAGTCAAAGTTAAAGAATCTCACTTTCTTGCTATTCTATATTTTATATTCAAGAAAAATATTTAAAAACTTGTTTGATGTAACAAAGCATGTGAAATATTTTTCTCTATCAGATTGTATGTAGTATTTTTGCGTAGCTTAAAAATCTTCAGCTTTTAAAATTTTTCAACTGTACCATAAATCATTTTGAGCACATACTAGCAAAATATATATTTTATTTGTGTACTTCATATTCAATTTTAGCATGATTTTATGTAAACTATAAAATTCAAAAACAATTTCAAAGAAGAGGATACAATAATATACAGTACTTGTGAAAATTCTACTTTATTGTTTTCACGTCCATAAATTTTCATGTTCATACCCTGTGGTTGACACATTCTGAATTTTGAAATTACTATAGAGATAAGCTTCTGATCTTCTTTCAAAGTGAACAAGAGTTTTTTTTTTTTTTTAGACCAGGTTGATGCTTTGATATTCTATAGAGAAAAAGAATGTATTTCCACAAAGTGTAGTTTTTATTTTTAACTTTTTAGGTCAACATTTCTGAGGTATAATTTACATGTAATAAATATATATCAATTGATATACATTCAATAATTTTGTTAAATACATAGTTATGTTAAACCATGATAAGATATGGATCATTTCTTTCACCTCAACAAGCTCTGTCTTTGTCCTTGGCTGTCAATCCTCAACCCATCTGAGTAATTCTATAGCTGGGGGAAAGCTTTTTCTCAGTCAGAACACATTTCATATTCCTGACACAAATCAGGTATGAATCTGGGGCAATCACATCCCAGTCTATGTGAGAGAATAGTTGCATGAAGTACAGGATCTAAGCAGAATAGAGTGTGGCTTTAGGACCAAGTTGTTGGAAGTTATGAAATGTGGAAGCATAACAAATAGAAAAGATGTCTTAAATTATGGAGAGCAATGGTGTAATAAAGATGTGGTATATCTGCCTTTAGCTCAAGAAGATCTATGATCTAAATGAAAGAGATAGAAATCAAGTCTCTCATCCCTGGCATGCTAAAGGGGCAGGAGATGGAGATAAACAACAGCACAGTAGTGACAGAATTCATTCTCCTTGGTCTGACCCAATCTCGAGAGATTCAGCTCCTGGTCTTTGTGCTGATCTCAGTTTTCTACCTCATCATCCTCCCTGGAAATTTCTTCATCATCCTCACCATAAGGTCAGACCCTGCTCTCACAGCCCCCCTCTATTTCTTCCTGGGCAACTTGGCCTTCCTGGATGCATCCTACTCCTTCATTGTGGCTCCCAGGATGCTGGTGGACTTCCTGTCTGAGAAGAAGATCATCTCCTACAGAGGCTGCATCACCCAGTTGTTTTTCTTGCACTTCCTTGGAGGAGGGGAGGGCTTACTCCTTGTTGTGATGGCCTTTGACCGCTATATCGCCATCTGCCAGCCTTTACACTATTCAACTGTCATGAGCCCTAGAGTCTGCTATGCATTCCTGTTGGCTCTGTGGGTTGGGGGCTTTGCCCATTCCATCGTACAAGTGGCGCTTATCCTGCACTTGCCTTTCTGTGGCCCAAACCAGCTGGACAACTTCTTCTGTGATGTGCCGCAGGTCATCGAGCTGGCCTGCACCGACACCTTTGTGGTAGAGCTCCTGATGGTCTTCAGCAGTGGTCTAATGACCCTCCTGTGCTTCCTGGGGCTTCTGGCCTCCTATGCCATCATTTTCTGTCATGTTTGCAGGTCTTCTCCCGAGGGGAAGAACAAGGCCATGTCCACATGCACCACTCACATTATTATTATACTTCTTATGTTTGGACCTGCAATTTTCATCTACACTCGTCCATTCAGGGCCTTACCAGCTGACAAGGTGGTTTCTTTCTTTCATACTGTCATCTTTCCACTGATGAATCCTGTGATTTATACCCTTCGCAACAAGGAAGTAAAAAGTTCCATGAAAAAATTATTGATTCAGCATGTAGTTTGTTAATGAATCTTACAATGAAAAGTTAGGACCAGCGTTCTGACTGGAATTCATTTATTTATTTATTTAACAAATACTGCTTCTTCACAGAAATAGCAAATAAATACATGAAAAAATGTTCAGCATCACTGGTCATTCCAGAGATGCAAATGAAAACAACGCTGAGATTCCACCTCACTCCAGAAAGAATGGCTGCTATCATGAAATCAACCAATAACAAATGCTGGCAGGGCTGTGGGGAAAGAGGAACCCTGCTCCACTGCTGGTGGGAGTGTAGACTGGTGCAAGCACTGTGGAAATCAGTATGGAGATAACTCAAAGAACTAGGACTGGAAGTCCCATTTGACCCCGCTATTCCACTTCTGGGGATCTTCCCCAAAGAATTAAAAGAATCATACCACAGTGATATATATGTGCACCCATGTTCATAGCAGCACAGTTTGTAATAGCTAAAACTTGGAAACAGCCCAAATGCCCATCAACTGGAGACTGGATAAAGAAAATGTGGTTCTTTTAAATAAAATGGAGTACTACTCAGCCATAAAAAATGAGAAATTAGAAACATTTATAGCTAAGTGGATGCACATTGAGGCGCTACTTTTAAGTGAAATAAATAGGACACACATGAATAAATTCCGAATAGTTTCTCTGGTGTGAGAAACTGAAAGTGTAAATAAGGACTAAATGTATAATAGGTAATGTGAAATAGGAAGAAAAGGGGCAAAGGGGAAGGAAATGAGAGGGCTAGAGGAAAGGACAGAAGGGAATGGGATTAATATGAGGAAATGGAAAAATAGGAACAAAATCTTTGTAAATAGGGAGGAATGGAGGGGTTGAAAGGAGGGCAGGGTTAAGGGTGAAAAATAAGAACCAAGAGAGACTATGTAAAGGTGCAAATTTCCAATGATGAATGTCATTATATTGTATACCTAAAATGTACCAATGATTAGAATGAATAATCGACAATGCAAAGTAGGAAGAAAAGGTCCAAAGGGGTAGGGGTAGTGGGAGGGGCAGGGGAAAGGAAAGAAGGGAAAGGAAAAATGATGAGAAATGGAAAAAATGGAAATAAAGTCTTTGTAAATAGGGAAAGGTGGAGGGAGTGAAGGGAGGGCTAGGAATGGGGAAAAAATAAGAACCAAGATTCATTATGTAAAGGTACAATTCCCAATGAGAAATGTAATTGTGTTGTATACCTACAGTGTACCAATAAAAGAATTTAATAAAAAAAAATACTGCTTCTTCACTGAGTACTTCTCATTTGTCAGATACTATTGTAGGCAATGAGGGGACAATTATCCTAATAAGAAAATGATCTTGGTGTATTTAAAGGACATAAAGGAAAGTCCAGAGTAGTTGAAGTACAATGAATAAGTGTGTGAGGCTTAGGGGTGAAATTTTATGTAACATGTAAGGATTGAATCACTAAAATCTCTTATGCTAAGATAAAGAGATTTATTATATTTTAATTTTAGTAACAATCCACTTTAATATTTTAAGCAAGAGAGTAACATCTACAACGCTTTTCTCTATGTGTCTACCAAATGAATATATACAAAGTGTTTCTTAAAACAAATCTTGCCTTTGCCACTTAATTTTTAATTGCTTCTCTTTGCCTATAAAACAAAAGCCAAATATGCTAACCTGGTACTAGGTAATATTATTACCTAATCTTAATATTTCACCTTTATCACCACCACTTCTAACCAAACAAAATTCTTCTTTCTAGTGAATCTAGACTATGTGTAGGTCCTGGGACACATAATAAATTTGCTTGTTGGCACACCTTTGATCCTCTCTTCTGATCAGATCTCTTTACTACATCTCCATCATGTCCATTTTATCTTCCCCAGAATTTTTCTACCTTTCTCAAAGATCATGTTATATTTCATTATCAAATTAATTCCCCATACATTTGTCAGGTACCCATGAAACAGAATCTTATCCCTTCAGCCTTTCACTTAAACTACTAAGAAGAATAAGTAAGACAAGTTTTTATAATGGAGCAGGTTGAATAAGTAATACTTCATGTATAGAAGGTCAAAGATCATACGAAGAAAGAGATGTGGATGGGAGAATGTCTTTCTGAATCTTGCCAGATAGAACTGATCTTTTTCCCCATGTGGTCACCCAACCTCTGGGAAGTAGTGCTCTGTAGTGTTCTAGGGGTCTGATGGCCACTACTAGATTGCTCTTTCAAATCTGAACTGTATATTAGTTTTATTTTCTCTTTCAACATGTGTCCGCTGCCTTGCCCTTAAGTGCATTATTACAATTTCCATAGGAAAATTTTAGAATACATTCAATGTTCCCTCATCTCAAAAGAAACCTCAAGACTGCTGTTGCCTTCTTGTACCACCTCTCTGTGGGTCTTAGGTAGAAAACTTACATCTTTCTTACACTTTCATATGCAATCAACTTTTTTCCACATTATGTAAAAGTCTCCTCTAGGGCCCAGGATTTAGCTCAGTAATTCCACCGCCTGCCTTGCAAGTGCAAAGTCCGGAATTCTATCCTCAGTACCAATAAAAAAAAAAGGCTCCTCTAACTCTGGCTTAAATAGTGGGTTCTTGATACATCCTTTCGTATCCTATTAAGAAGGTCACCTTCTAAGAAATTGTTATATCTCACACCAAGAAGTTATTTTCTCTAAGAAGAGTTATGCCTTCAAAATGTTCATAAGTTTTTAAAATATTCTCTCTGGTTATGTCCCTATCACCAGAAATATACTACATCTGAAAAGACAATCGTCTTTGATGCAAAATTTAAAGGGATGTCAAAAAATTCGAAACAGAGTTATACAATACTTTAATCGATATTTTGAAAAAAAATAATGTTAAAATTTCTGTGAACAAAGTACTACATTTTAAACAAAAGCAGGATCAGTGCCAAGCTGGGCCATACTAGAAACCAAAGCAAAATCAATAATAATGGTGAAGTCTTTATTGAAAAGTTTGAGTCTGTTCATATTTTTTTCACCTAGCCCAGCTTGATATATATCAACAATCCATTATTGTTTATTTAACCATTTTCCATTTTGTATTTTAACATATCAATTCACTTCTCTCAAACTTCTATCTGCTTCTGAACTGATAAGTATTCTTCCAAATAGTGGTTCCTCTTAGTGACAGAATTTTAGTTTTAGAACTCAGAATGAACTGAGTATGTTATTATGTAACACATTTAAAACCTAGTCAATCTTTTCAAAGATCTGCTATTTTCCTTTGCCTAATTTAGTTGATAACTATAGTTGGTCTAATAACTCCTTTTGGATGCATTCAGTGAGTTGAAGTTGTCTCAAATCCCACAAGTACTTTCTTCAATACAACACAAATAGGAAATGTTTAAAAATCTAAGATTTCCTATGTGACAACAAATATTTATGAACAACGGCAAGAGTGGTCAGTTAATATCTTAGTAGGAGGAGGTGGAGGGTGGGTACTTTCTGATAATAACCCAAGATCCCTGGATGCCAGAATTTCTAGACAATCTTCATATTTGCAAGAAACAAGAAGGAAGGGACAAAAAAAGTACTTCAACTGGTCTTTTAGTTAATCTGTTGTTTTGGAGTGCAGTGAACTAAGGGTCAGATTTCCAGGAGTAATAACCAAAGGCTGAGGTCTAAGTTCATCAGTTTAGTGCTTTCTATCTGTTCTTCCTATGAATTGGGAACTGTTTTTAGTGTTTAGGATTACTTTAATTGTGAAAAAAAATTAATTCAGTTATTATAATTGATATTATTAATAGAATTGAGGAGTTAATGTCTGGGGTTAAGGATCATATAAATGACTGAAATGTGTTATTTTCTTATAAGATATGGAGGAATGGGAAGGAATATACAGAAGGCTGGGCTAGGGGCTCCAGATAAAAACTTAACAGATTTTATGATTCCAGAAACCAGACACAGAACCTTGACCACTTCAATTCCATACTCAACAGGGAGGAGTGTTTCTTCTGTTGCCTGTGGTCCTATTCACCCACAAAACTTTGACAAAGAGACAGTTTTGGAACTGAGACAAGCTTGATATGTAAACCACTGGGTGCACTGGCAATTTCTCTGGGAGGTTTTACTGAAACTTCAAAATTTCTCTCCTTTAATTCTTCAAAATCTTCGGCTACTATCATCCCAGTGTGTTCCCAAAGACACCAATAAAAGATGAATAGGCATTGTGTCCTTTCTGTAGAGTTACCACTTAACATTTAAATACCATCATGATTGACTTTGATTCAAGGATATTTAAATAAGTTACATAGTAATATTCTTATTACCTCATTTGATCCTTACGTTACCCCTGTCAGACTGAAAGAGTCAATACAGTTCTCTATTTGATAGAGGGAAGCCTGGGTTTCTGATGGCCAAAAGTCTTTTCAAGGATCACATGGAAAGTGAACTGGTGAACAAAGAAATAAAAGAGACATAAGGGATTCAAAATACTAGGAATCAGGGCCGGGGATTTAGCTCACTCAGTGGTTCCACCACCTGCCTTGCAACTGCAAGGACTGGAGTTCAATCCCCCGGACCAAAACAAAAAAAAAAACAAAAAAAGCACTTGCAAAATACTAGGACTCTTTCTTCACTGTTCCATTGCCTAAAAACTTGGCATTCAGTGGAAATGTAGAGATAACTTAATCTGATCATTCCATTTCAATGATGAAGAAATTTTTTGAGTGAATATCTATATACTTGCTATTGCTTTATGTACTCCTCATGATGATTAGTATTAACTGAATATGTGCCCATGTTTTTCAGCCTGATTCACACTTTTGAGAATATATTATATAATTTTTATAATTAAATAACTTACTTCAATCAGTATGCTGACAATTTCACTCCTGTTTTCTGGAATCGTTTGTTTTTCAATATATTTTATTAGGATGATAATAATGAGATTTATTTTTTAAAAGACAAGTATATTGTGTCTTTTTTAAAATTTAATGTTACATACAGGCAGAAAAGATATATAATGGAATGAGAAATACTTAATGGGAGGCTCTGATTTTGTAAATTGTGAAAATACCATATATTGGTTAGTATGGAAGGATGAGTTACATTAATTTCAGAGTGAAAGAACATAGATGAATTTTAGGGGAAAAAGAAAATTATGAAGAAGAACAAGAACTAAAGAAGGAAAATAAATAGGGAAAGAAAATGAGGGAAGAGGAAGGGAAAACCAATAAACTAACAAGGAAGAAGAGATTTAGAAAGATAAATCCAGCAAATAAATAATAAGCAACTTGTTCATCAATGCAAAGAGAGACAAAGAAAAGTGGGAAAATAAGGAAGGAAGCATTAGGAAATATTTCAGACATAAGAGAGCAAGTGTTTGGCTCTCTGAACACTCAGCTGAAGGACTGACCTGACCAGTTTGGATACCAGTCATGCAATGAATTGCCCATTTCAGGTCTCAAGATACATAAGGCAGATGATTTCAATGGTTCTTAAGACATGTATCCCAAGATACAAGTATAGATTGTTGTTATTTTTTCTTTTCTGTTTCTCTCCTCTTTCTTGCTTCCTTTGCCTTTCCTTCTTCCTTGTTTTCTTTTCTTTTTTTTTCCTTTCTGTTATTTTGTAGTACTAGGAATGGAACCCAGGGCCTCATGGATGATAGGCAAGGTCTCTACTACCAAGCTGTATTCCCAGCCCCTTGGACATATTTTCTGGCAAAAATTTTCACTCTTGTATGCCCCTCATGTTCTGCAGGACTTATTTAAAACAAATATGCTATTTTACTTAAGTGGCATAAGAAATATTATTACATAGTGTTATATTTTGTTGTAGACCAATAATTTTCAAACTTTAAAAAATAATATATATCTATAATAAAATATTTTTGAGCCTATACTTAAATAGAGTGGATATATACCATAGTGGTAACATATTTTACATGATAAGTACTAAGAAGTGAATTTAAAAACAATATTTCAGTGATGCTATATGTTATTTATTTTTACATATAATGCTATATGTATATATCACATACATAATGATATACACACAACAAATGTATATACAGTACTATTTTATTTCTATACCTCCAGTAGATAATCACGTACATCTTTTGGAATGAACATACAACACTAAACAGATTAAGTTTTAAATCTGAATTTTATCCACAATGCATAACTTTTAAAATTTATACAGGGTTGAACTCTAAATTCAATATAGATGCTAATTTAGCCTAGCAATATTATTTTTAATTATTCAAGAACATGGAAAAGCACATACATTGATTAAAGCTGTGACTAAAATTGTTTTTATTAAAACTGAATAGGATACATGTTCATTCTTCTACTATTTGTCAATTAGAGCAAAAACTAAAAGTCATCCTATGTTTAAATAACATAATCATAGAAGTTTCGTTTTCTCATCTTCAGAATGAAGACATTAGGATTACAGTATTTTATGGTTATTGTTAGTTTTTCTACACTATGATTTTGTGAATTGAAATAAGTATATGACTATTAATAAAATTAATGCTTGGTATGGATAAATAGGTGAGTTGTACATATATAAGCATTTGAGATTTGAACCATACTCATTAAGGTGCATGAATAAGGTGTTGAGTGGCCACAGGAGTGGTGTCACTGGGGTTGCAGATAGGGGACTATCACTAAGTTAGCTGAAAAGTGAATTTATTGTTTGGGATTGTGGTGAACAATTTGAGTCAGAGTATGCTAGAAGACCATTCTAGTGGGAGAATGATAAAATGCAAATTAATAAGAGAAGACAGAAGGCAAGGCAGCAAGTTATTAGCTATGAAGTGGCAATTCCACAGAAACTGAAGGAAGTGGAGAGCTAGTAAAAATGTTTGTGCTCTATAGATGAGGACAAAAAAGGCATGATCACAAAAGAAGAGGCTAAGCTTCATGTGTAACACATCTCCAACAACTCAGAGATCTTGATAACTGAAGTTGGGTTGTAACTTGATAATGACAGTTTTCATACGATATAAGAAGGCAGAAATCACAAGTGGAGAATGCCAGACTTCTAAAGTGGAGAACAGTTCTGTAGAAATACTTGGTTGAATAATAATAAGGTTATTGTTTTGAAAACAGTATTTGACTTTATTTCCTGTTTTAAATTTGGAGATAGGAAGAGAATTGAGATTACCCAGGACATTGGAGAGGCTTGAGAAGTGTTTTAGCTGAAATAAGAATGTGTCAAATATTTTTAGCTGGTAAAAAAGTAGCATGGAGATGGCATACATAGTAGTTACAGGAAACTCTGCAGTACATCAGGGAGCAGAGTGATGGAGAGCCAGAACAACACAGTGGTGACAGAACTCATCCTCCTTGGTCTGACCCAATCTCGAGAGATTCAGCTCCTGGTCTTTGTGCTGATCTCAGTTTTCTACCTCATCATCCTCCCTGGAAATTTCTTCATCATCCTCACCATAAGGTCAGACCCTGCTCTCACAGCCCCCCTCTATTTCTTCCTGGGCAGCTTGGCCTTCCTGCATGCATCCTACTCCTTCACTGTGGCTCCCAGGATGCTGGTGGACTTCCTGTCTGAGAAGAAGATCATCTCCTACAGAGGCTGCATCACCCAGTTGTTTTTCTTGCACTTCCTTGGAGGAGGGGAGGGCTTACTTCTTGTTGTGATGGCCTTTGACCACTATATCGCCCCCTGCTGGCCTTTACACTATTCAACTGTCAAGAGCCCTAGAGCCTGCAATGTAATGCTGTTGGCTCTGTGGCTTGGAGGCTTTCCCCATTCCATTATTCAGGTGGCCCTCATACTGCGTTTGCCTTTCTGTGGTCCAAACCAGCTGGATAATTTCTTCTGTGATGTGCTGCAGGTCATCAAGCTGGCCTGCTTGGATACTTTTGTGGTAGAGCTCCTGATGGTCTTCAGCAGTGGTCTAATGACCCTCCTGTGCTTCCTGGGGCTTCTGGCCTCTTATGGTGCCATTCTATGTCATGTATGTGGGTCTTCTCCTGAGGGGAAGAACATGGCCATGTCCAGATGCACCACCCATGTCATAGTCATATTTCTCATGTTTGGGCCTGGCATCTTCATCTATACTCACACATTCAGGGCTTTCCCTGCTGACAAGGTGGTTTCTCTCTTCCACGCTGTCATCTTTCCTATATTGAAACCTGTAATTTATACACTTCACTACCAGGAAGTAAAAGCTTCCATGAAGAAGTTGTTTAATCAGCACATAGGGGAAAATGGAATGGGAGAATCAGGGTTGTCAAATACCATCTGAAATCACTTCATTCATTTGCAAAATACTGCATTTATTGAGCACCTCCCACCAGTCAGGAGTATTTTATACAATGAAGACAGAATTGTCAATAAGACAGATAGTGTATTGGTATCTTGGCCATTATTTAGGGAGAAAAGATACCCATTAAGATAGAAGATTAACAAAATGGTTTCAGGAAGATAGTCTTCTAAAGAAACTAAAAGAAAAAATAAAGCAATAGATTGTGCCTCTAGTTGTAAGTAATGAATTCATTTTTCATTGCCAAACAAAGCTTTCTTAGGAGCTGACATTTTGGTTAACATCAGGTAAACTGAAGGAACCAACCATGCAAACCTGTGGGACAGCAATATAGACAAACAGAACAGGTAATGAGAAAATCTGAGGATGATAATAAAGTTCGTATATTTGAGGAACACTGCAAAGTTGAAGTTGGCTGGAATACAGTAACATATATCATTATACATTAATATGAAAATGATTAAAGTTGGAGATACTGCTAGTGTCTAAATAATATGTGGTCTACAAAGTGAATGTAGTTTTAATTTTATTATAATTGCAGTAAGAAACCATTTTAAATCTTTAGGTAACAAAATGATTTTTCTACTGCAGGTTTCAAATGACTTAGGGCTGTAAATTCAAGATTCTGAGCAGATATCACAGAGTTGGAAAATAATTAGGAAGAAAATTATATTTTAATAGATAATAAACTTCTATATTTTGTTCCATAAGACAGAGGAAGGCAAAAAGCTGGTTATTTTCATTAGAAAAGAATCATAAAAATATTTTCTTTTCTATTTTTTCTACAGTTGCATGTTTATTCTTTGAAATGTTTTTCTGACTGTTAGGCATTTGTTGGATACATCCTAGATTGATTGCACCTTGGTATAATGATGACTGTTTATTGCCAGGCCAGTCAAGATTCGGTGTCAGATAGCAGAAAACATGCTAGTTATTTTAAAGAAAAATATGACTTAATATATATAATTCATTGTTGACCAAACAGTTGGAACATCTGGAAGAGCAGACTATTGACTGGGAATCGAAAGATGAAAGATGACTTTCTAAACAGCAAAGAGACCTACATTGTCAAGGGGCAGTCTTAGATACAATCTTACTCATCTTCCATCTGAAGGACCCCCCACTTTAGCCTGGATCAAGATGATTCAGAACCTCCATGTGAAGCAGAAGCCTCTCCTGCTACTGCTTCTGTAGGCAACTTACTGCAAAGTCAAATCTTGCCTAAGTATGTTGAATAGGCAGCACTCAAAACATATTTGGAACCACAATTGCGAGAGAACCTAGCATTGACTTTTGAAAATCTTTTCTTCTTAATATTAACCAATGATTAAATATTTATGGATATAAATCATGTACATGATAAAAAGTAATCAAACTCTCAATCTTCAAGTAACACTTCCCCACTCTCACTCTCAGTTTATCATCTTGATTCCTGTTTTACTGAGAAAAGGAGAAGAGAACCCCAGAAGGTTCTACCACAACATTTCCCAAATACTTGAGACTGTGACCAAGTTCCCTTTGTCTCTCCTGAAACTGGCTGACCTGATATCACACCTAACATAGTCACCTCCTCTACCCGTGCACCGTCTGTCCTCCCCTTCTTACCTAACTCAATCATTCTGGTAGTCCTCCTTTCTCTTTCCTACTTTTCCTAACTTTTCCCTCCCTAGTTTTAATTTTCTACCTCATCATCCTCCCTGAATATATTGTCCCTTGGCATATGATCGCATTTATTTCATTCTAAATAAGACATGTTTACCACTTTTCTCCCTCTAAATGTTACTCATTTTCCTCTGTCCTTCTACTGCAAGGTTCTTCAAGAGCTATTTATACTTTTTAAAAGTTAGTTAATCTTTTAAGAGTGTAATTTTAGGTTCACACAAAAATCAAGGAGAAAATACAGAGTTCATTTTTGCCCTCTTTTTTCAACCTTGCGTACACACACACACGCCCATACACACACAAACACACACATTTCCCTGAATAGAAACATCTCACATTAATGTAATATATTTGTTATCACTGATAAACATTAGTATTTTATTACTAAATAAAGCCTATAATTTACATTTGGGTTTACTCTGTGTTGTGCAGTTTTGTGGACTTTTAAAAATGCTTATTATCTATTTTAACATATACTTGTCACCATTACAGTATGCTACAGGAGAGTTTGCCCTAGAAATTCCCTGTACTCTACTTATTTATCCCCTTTTTTTCTGAGTCCTATCCAATCCCTGGCAACCACTGATCTTTGTACTGTCTCTAGTTTTACATTTTTCAGAATGACACATAGTTGGAAGTCATATAGCAAGTAAACTTTCGGGCTGGTGTGTATATTATGGCTTCCAATTTATTTCCTCCCCAATTAACACTATGAGGCTAGTAAAACTGCTTTTGTGATTACACATGACATTCAATGGTCATTATTCAGTTCTTATCATGTTTGACCTTTAAGGTGTATTTAACACCGTGGATCACTCCCTCTTCTTTAAGTCATTGCTTTCGCAAGATTTTCCAATATCCTAGGTGCCCTTTCACCTAATCAACTGTTTCCTCATTCCCCTTTGAGAATTTCTCCTGAACTGTCTAGTTGTTTGGTTTTAACTTCCACCTCCATGTTGATAACCTCTGCACTCAGTCTTTCTGTCAACTATTGGCTCCTGCACCTGACATTTATGTCACTCCCACAGCTCCACCCTCATTTCTTCATGTGGCCTCCAGCATGACATCCTCATACAACCTGCTCCCTCCCTTACAACCTAATCTCAGTTAATTGTGATTCTGTCTTTCCAGTCTGTGGTCCAAAACCTTGGATTTATAATTATGTTGGGAACCTGCTTCTCATATACCACTACCAATCTTGTTAATACGTCTAAATTAGCTCTACTATAGTACAATTTCTCATCATATGATTAGAGAATTTCTCTAATTTTACCACCTAGGCCCAAGCCATCATTTTTTGCCCATGTTACAACTACTCCTACCCAATTATAGTCCATTCTCTGCTGAGTAACCAGAATTCTCTGGTTAAAATATATTATATCACCTCATTTCTCTTGTCAAAATCCTCTGAAAAAGCCCAAAACTTTCTTTGTTACCTATAAATGTTGGTGTGATTTTTACCTCTATATCCCCAGTCCCTGCCCCTTTCCTCTCTCTGAGATCTTATCCTACTGTGACCATCTCATTCACTCTCGGCACACCCACTACCCCTGACCTTTAAACATGACCAGCTTATGACTGCTTCAGAATTTGACTTGCTGTTCCTTCTATTTGAATCTTTGAGATGGTAGCACGACTCACTTCATAATTTCATATTTTTCCTCAAATGTCACCTTCTGTGTAGGACCTTCCCTGACTACCTTATCGATATGTGCTACCTACTCCCATAGCACTTCATATTTTCTTTTTTTCACCAACACTTATCACCATTTAGCAGGCCATCCATTCCCACAGACTTATTTTATTGTATATTTCACAAACCTGTTTTATTTCCTGTCTTTTCCCACTATGCTATATCACCTCCATTAAAATCAGAAGTTTTGTTGTTTTGCCTTGTGCTTAACATAAGGAAAATGCTCAGTAAGTATTTATTAAATAAATGAATGAAAAGATAATGTGACCAGTTTCATCTGAATGTAGCACTCAGAAATATATAATATTAAAAATTTGATAGAACACTGAAGGTGACTATATATTGTAATAACCTATTACATATTTTGGGACTCACCAAAACGTTGGGTTTGACTTTTTCAAAAACAAAGTAACTGTGGAAGGACATGGAAAAGATAATTATCTTTCCTTGATCAGTACACATAATACAAAGTTTTGAAATGTTACACTCTAGGTCATAAATATGTATAATTATTACATATTAAGAAAATATTTCAAAATATTTAAGGAGATGAAAATATTAACTACCATGATTTGATCATAATAAATTATATATGTATTAAATGATCATACCCTATCTCATAAATATGTATATTAAAACAATAATTAATGAGTGAACAGTTTTCCATGTATACATTATTTTTATAGACTTAGAGCACATTATTTATGTAGTTCACATCTTACATTTTTCTTAACATTATGAACATATTTAAAGTAAGTAAATACAGATGAAAGTGCTCCTTTAAATTATTATGAATTATGCAATAACTGTTAGAAATTTTTTAATGTAAATAGCCACCATTTTGTATATTTAACTTTTTAATTATAAAAGTTGCTTACACAAAATTATAATTTTCATTTTTGTGTGATAATTGGGTTAATAATTGTACTTTTAAGCCAGCAGCAGCCCCACCAAACCACGCCGCACAGGCCACGCAGTCTCTGAATCCGCACGGCAGAGGCACAGGGTGGGGGGTGGGGCAATAAAGGCCGCGGTTATGAGCCCCAGAGATAGAGCAGAAGTAAACAACAAAGAGGGTCTCTCTGAGCCTCCTCAATGAAAATTGAAGCCCACTGGGAAAGTGAAGAAAATTTCAATAAAAGCACACAGGACCATCATGGTTGGTAAATTGGTGGGATCAGCACCTCCCACAGAAACCCATACTTGATTAGGCGGGAGGACAGCTGGAACCTGCAGTAGAACCTTGCAGAGTTTAATCCGGCAGGAGGTCAGGGACCTCAACTTGGGCCTTGCAGCCAGAAATCAGCCTGAATCTCAATAGACTACTGCTGGCGTGCTGAGACTAATCGACTTAGACCTGCACACTGCTGCCCACATCGTCTACCAGGACAGCAGAGACTTATCCTGAGGGAGACCCTTTTATATATATAGATTTTTTTTCTTTTATTTTTCTCTCCATCTCCCTTCTGGCTCCGTATTTCACTCCCTCTTTGTTCCTGTTCCTGTCCCAGTTTGAATTGTTCCTCTCTCTGTCCTCTTGACTGTCACTATTATAGGAAGGTGAATACAATTTCTAGCTTCCCGATTGTTGTCAGTTTGTTCTGTACTTGTCTCTGTTCTTTCACTC